TGGAGTCTTTGTATTCATTTTAAATCACTTCATTCGCATATCAAAAGATGCTTTATTTTGTAGTGGAGCGTATTAGGTACATGGAAAGTTTTGTCGTGCATGGAAACTCCAAAAGAAATGAGCAACATTAAGTTATTTCGAAAGAAACGACCATTGACTACTTCAATTCCCACCGTACTCAGTGTTTCTTCACAACTCAGAAAGCCATTATCATTTGAGAATGCAATTGGTGCAGGATTGGCTGGATGATGTTGAAAATGTGGCTTTCAATATTGACAACATTTTCAGTGAGCTCAAGTACGAGTTTCATCTGAAAAAGGTGAAATCCATGAACAAATCCAAGTTGGGAAAGGTAAGTTTGCCCTTTTCCTCAGCTAAACATGTTGTTCCTTTTCGTTTGAGAATGAGTTCTAAGATCAGGGAGGTCAACAAAAAGTTGACTTTCTGCAATCTGCAAGCCTCTGATCTTGGATTAATCAGTGATGCATTACTCTATGCATCTGTTTCCGCTTCTACTAGTCGTAGTAATACTACTAGATTCGTGGAAAACAGAGAAAGCAACTTTGTTTTGCCAGAGTTTGTTGCAGGAAGAACTGAGGAAGAATATGAAATTGTGGGGATGTTGTTGAACTCCTCTGATCAAGATTCTTCTTTTGTTCTTCCCATAGTTGGTATGGGTGGATTGGGAAAGATCACTTTGGTGAAGTCTGTGTACAACAATCCACAGATTGTTGATCATTTTTCTAAAAGAATTTGGGTGGTGTGTCCGAGAATTTCAAAGTGACGGGGCTGTTCAGATTGATTTTAGAGTCACTAAAGGGAGGGAAGGTGGAAATGTCTAGTCAAGATGTTATAGTTCACCAAATTGAGACACAGCTTCGTGGGGAAAGATTTCTCTTAGTTCTTGATGACATTTGGAATGAGGATCCAAACTTGTGGGAAGCCTTTTTCGGTTATTTGGTGGGGCTAAACAGTCACAAGGGAAGCTACTGTCTGTTGACCACTCGTCTCTGGATAACAACAGCAATTACGAGAGTTAACTATCAAAGGTTTTATGGGGGATAAGTTCCCTGAATGGCTGGGAAAATTGTCAATGCTGGTTAGTTTGAGGTTGATTGATTGCAATACTTACGTCACTATCCGTAAATTGCCCCCACATTTATAAATTAGTTACTTCTCGAACTGATGCCTTCATAGCTGTTGTAGAAAGAACCTCGAGTGATGCACCGTAGATTTCCCCCACATTGTGAGTAATCTGCTTAGCAGGATCAGGTGGAGGGACTTGTTGGAGTGGTTGAGGGCCGCTGTTGAGAGGCTGCTGAGTAGATTGCTGCGCATTATTCCTTGGTGTCCAGTTATTCCCCCAGTTATCCAGTCGAGGGCCGCGTGAGTTCTTCATAGGAAAGTTACGGGGTCCCGTGAACTTTCCTCCCTTTTGTCAAGGAGCATTTTGTACATATTGTTGGAATTTTCCAGATTTTACCCTGGCTTCGATTTCACGCTTGAGTTCCCTACAATCTTCAGTGTCATGGTCATGGTCCTTGTGATATTCACAGTATTGATCCGTGGACCCATTTGGGTTGTGGGCTAGGGGCTTTGGAAGAATAGGGAACTCATCCTTGTTGATTTGGAGTATTTCTTGTTGGGGCTTCAATATCGGAGTCAACTGCCTATCGAGCTTAGGCAAAGCAAGCTTAAACTCCATAGTAAATTTGAGCCTATCCCTTTCACCTCGATCTCCTGCGATTGAGAAGGACTCCTGAGAGCGCTTGAGCGTCTGTTCTTGCTGAATGTAACTTTCAACTGTGGCCCACATTTCTTGTGTATTTCGAGGGAGTTTGGTTGACAATTTTACCCTCAAGATGGCCGACTTTCCGAATGGGTTAAGGCCCTCAATGAACCCATTCTGAACGTCTCTGTCATCAAGATAATCTACTTGGAGAGTTTCTCGGATGAAGAGACGATGAAAATCAGACAGACTCTCGTTTTGTCCTTGCTTGATCGAGAAAAGGTCGATTGACATCTTGGTGATCTGCTTATTGGGGAAGAACCAAGTAGCCAGTTTGACCGATAAATCCTCGAAGCTGACAATACTTCATTCTGGCGACTGTCCGAACCAACATTGCGCTTGTCCGGTGAGATAAGATGGAAGAGCCTTAGCCATGAAATCAAGTGATGCATTTCTGATCCTCATGACTTGGACATATCCGTGCATAAATTGCTGCGGGTCGGAGTCTCCCGAATATTTGACAAAGTCTTTGGGGAAGTCAAAGTCACTTTAGACAATCACGGATTCTTGGAATGAAAGGACTTTTGTCAACAATCATTCCTATCATTCGTCGCATTGACTAGTGAATGGAGGCTTTTTGGTTGCCATGGTTCTCCTGTCGTTGAGGGATCAAGGGCTCTTCTGGTTGTAAATCATCATAATGATATTGACCGTACCGAGGATATCCTGTGTCTCGATATGTATCACGGTGATCGCGATAGGACTTTTCCGGGGAAGCCCTGGGTCCTAAGCGGGAGTGTACATTGCCTCTCGGTGGGGGATCCCAATTCCTTTTAGACAACAACTCGACACTAGGTGAACCTTGGCGGTGTTGGTCGCGAGATTTCTTCTTGCGTCGATGCTCTTTTCCAAATTGCTCAGGTGCCGTATAGGATGCTGGATATGTTCTTTCAAATGAGTCCCAGAAGGTTGCACCAGGGGTAGCAGAGAACTCTACATGGGAAACCTCATGGCTGGAAGTTTCTCTGCGGCCTTCTGCCTCTCCTTCACCCGGAACTTTGCGTTTGCCTTTTTCCTTTTCGAGCAAAGTCAATGTCCCGCGCACTTCTTTCTCATCAATCAGGTCATATAGCTCCTGATCCGTACGATCAGGAGACCTAGCAAGCAACAATGTTTGTATTCCTCCAATATATACTTTTTTTTCCTCTGATTGAGGTTGTTATCATCTCTCAACTTTTTGAGTTCCACTTCGATTTCAGCCAACCATTCCTCATCATGTGAATCGGAGCCCTTGCGATGATTTTGCAGATCTTCATCCCTTTCATCCCTGGGACTAGATGGTCTTGTGGGAGTTTTTTCTTTCCTCGACTGGTGGTCGTTCCTTTTTCGCGTCTGCCTCTCTCAGAATTTTGCTAGGGTTTAGTTGTCATCAGGGCTTGGCCGCCTGCCTGTTGACGCTATACTGGATTGAGGTCTGTCGATTATGGCCATCCTGTTTGGCAAAGAACCCTAACTGGCAGCGACGATCAAAGGCTGAGAAAAGTTTCAAAAGCTTGAGAAAGCTTTGTGACACAAACCCTAATTTTTGGGCCCACTGGGCGTGCCACTTGACGAAGCCTAGAATTGTAACTTCGGTTGAACCGTGGAACTTCGATTAGGGTTTCCTGCAAAAGAGAGAGCCTCCGGAGTCTCCCGAGGGTAGACACTCCGATACTTAAGTCAGAAATAGAGTTATGGAGTATTGCATATATAATTATTGGAGCTAGAGATAGTGTATCTTAATTATGGAGTAATTATCTCTATTTATAGACCTAGAAGATATCCGAATCTCACTAGGTTTAGCATCCTTGCACCGCCTCCACAGAGTCGGTTAGACTCTAGACTCGGTAAATGGGCCGATCCAATGTAGGTGGTGGATATGGACTCGTCACTTGCCAGCCTAAGAACTCTTTGTCTAGATGGAATGAGGAATTTTATTGAATGGAAAGGATATGATTGTGATGGTAGTGTGGGTCTGTTTCCTAAACTTCAGGACTTGAGTATTACTAATTGTTTCAAACTGAGTACCATTCCAACTCATTTCCCAAGTCTTAGTAGTTTGTATATCAGTGGAAAAGTGCAACCTTTGGTGGTTAAAAATATTCTTACAGGTGTCCTAGATGTGGTCTGCATAAGGATGATGGATGGACTAGCTAGTCTCCCAGATGTGGTTAATGTTCAAAACACTTCCCTTAAGTACCTTACCATTCAAGTATGTAAGAACTTGAGTAAGATACCAAGTGAAACCCTTGAAAGTTGCAAATCTCTTGAGACTATGGCAGTTATGTATTGATATGCTTAAAATTTACCTATTTTTAATATCCTTTTATGTGAGATTTCACTACTCTTTTGAATACTTTTCTGCTATTTATGTGATTTTATCTTTAATTGTAGGAATTGTACTCAAATGGAGGAATTGTTGAAATTTTGGGCTAAAATGAAGATAAAAGCAACTCAAAGGGAGAATTGAAGATTTGATAAATTGACAAGGAAGAAATTGAAGCACTTGAAGAATTAGAGGATTAAACAAGCAATTTTGGGATTTGGTTTTGAATTTGACCGATTTGAGCTTCTGCGGATTTTGCCGAAGAAGAAGTCTTCCAAATTGATTTTGGGGTGGCCGAATAAATTCATCCGGAGGAGTTTTAATTTAAATTGGCTTGAAAAAAAATAACGTTCTTATTCCTGAAGAAATAAGGTTTGACGAAAGCCTATAAAAAGAGAATTAGAGTTTTATTTTTGGGGATAGAGACTTAACCGAAAACCATCAAAGTTGGCCACTACAATTTTCTCCTCCTGCCGCAGCCCTCCCCCCCCACAACTCTACGACCAACTCCATCACCTCCTTACACCATCAGCCCTTCCCACTCCAAAACCAACTCCATTGCACTAAGCTTCCACGCACCACCAGTGCACCACAAAAACCTTCCTCCACCAAACCCCTTCTACGCAACCACACAACCCCACGCCACACACCTTCACCCAAAACTCTTCTCCACCATCGACTCACCTCATCACCTCATTAATATCACTCACGCACCATCATACTCCATCACACACATCATCGGAGGAGGAAGCAAGTAACTTCGGACTCAACTTTTGGCTTACTTCTCTCGGGTTTCATTGTTTTATTTATTTTAGAATAATGTGTAGCTAAACTTTTTAATCTAGAGTTTTGGATGTAAACGCCGTATTATTTAATTTAATTTAATTCATAATGATATGCCCAGAGGGTTCAGTGGCCACACCAGCTTAAAGGAATTGTCGATTGGTCCTTTCTCAAACGATACGATTGAATTATTTGACTGGCAAGGACAGTTATCCTGTTCATCCACACTCATGAAGCTGTCTTTATCTGGGTCGCTTGAAATGCAGACTCCGCTGCTGCCGGATCAGCTCCAAAACTTCACTTTCTTAACAAGTTTAACTCTTGCGCGTTATGGCTTTTTGGAAAGGTTACCTGAATGGTTGGGCAGCTTAGTTTCTCTGGAAGACCTTCATCTCAGCAACTGTCCGAAGCTTGAATTTTTGCCCTCCTTGGATGCCATGCGACGCCTAACGAAATTAAAATGGGTCTACGCTTGTACTATTCTGAATGAAGCATTCCACCGTGACAAGAACAGCCCCGACTCATACTGGTCCAGCTTAGTTCTCATTGTCCCAATGTTCGAGTTGTATTTTACCAAATAGGTAAATCTTTACTTGTTAGTCCTGGATGGTTTCTTCTTCTTCGCTGCTTTCTTTTTGTTTTAATAAAAAAGTTATTTAATTAGTTCCCATGTTTTTTATTCCACCTATGTTACTCTTCTTCATATTTTTAAAACCTCAAACTAACGTATTTGCTCTGTGCCATGCAATTTGGATACTTAAGCTAAAAGTCATATCTAATTTCTGTGATTAGCCAAGCTTCTTTTGAATTTGAAAATAGTTGGGTTTTTTTTTTTAATTCAATTTATATGCATGGCTCTGAGTTGCAGACGGAATTTAGGTCAATTACGGAAGTGGTGTGAGTGTTTGGATTGGCTCAGTCTCTCCACTCTCCAATGCCAATGGAAAAGGGTAACCTCTCCCTTCATCTCCCATTTATTATGTTCAAATTTATGTTCTGTTTGAATATATAATCTTAAGGATGCCCATACAACTCCTTCCATGTTTGAAGCCCGGTACCGTTCTCGCCTTGTATTTGCAGGGCGGCATGACCACACAGTTATGTTTCTCAGAAATGAAGTCTTTTTTCGGTTTACATTTGCTGTCAAGAATGGGACGCCATGGCCAGAGATGCAAGAATTGTTGGAAACTCTTGGGATATATTGATGCGGATTTCTTGATGTAGTCGTTTGGATCCGAGTTGAAACTGGGAAAATTTGCACGAGTAATCATTGATCTCCCATCTCTCAACTGATTTAAGCTTTAACACAACTTTATCTTAGCATTGAGATGTTTCTGGTTTATTTTGCAGTTAAGAACACAATTCTTGCTAAATGGAACCGTCGCAATTTCTGGAGGGTTTCAGGTAAGTATTTGAAAATGTTTTTCCAAGCCTCATCATGAATATCCGAGGAGTTTGTAGTTATGTAACCTTTTCTTGTAAGATTTAGAGTACTCTGTTTCAAATTCAGGACAAGAGCAAATTGCTACAGCTTTAGAGAGGCTTGGATAATGCTATATGTTCTTCACTGTACAACGGGGAAGGCTGCTCTTTCATCGGACTATTTGGACTCGGGACAATCTGTAGATGGTCTGACTCTGTTCCGTGTTTTGAATATTCCGGCTGGCGGAAGAAGACTGCAATAGCGACAGAATGCGAGGAAACAATTGACCGGAATATTCTTTTCTTGGCCAATTTCAGCTGTCCCGTAAGTCCTCAGGTCTGATTGCTGAAATAATTGGATAGTGGAAATTTTCGAGGAGCCTCCTAGCACATGAACCACATAATAGCTGGAATTGAAAATGCAACCAAATCAATAGAAGGTTAGCTAGGGTAGAGTTTAGGAGTAATAATTTGGATGTATCTTGTGGTGGAAAGTGGAAACGGGAGGAATGTACTCCTGATAGTGATTTGGCTAAGGCAATTGAGGGCTGGGATTTTTGGTTTTTTTTTTTTTTGTTTTTGGCTTGAGAGTCTCAACTCTCACAACGATTGTAAACATTTCAGTCACTCTTTTTTTTTTTTTTTGCTAGTTTTGACATCCCAATTTGGAGATGATTTGAGGAAAGGGACGAACTGGTCTTTAGTTTTTCCATCCTAATTCAATCTTTAACATCATTATTCATAACAAAATTTCAGTTCCATCAAGGGGACTCTGATAGTATAGTATGCACAGGGGAAGATTGAAAATTCATCCCAAAAAAAAAGAACAAAAAAAACAACCAACATGTGTTGCGATGGTTGGTAAAATTAATGACAACAAACCTCAATCATTTTGACAAAATTGTATAGCACCAGACTTGTGTAATCTGAGGCTTCTTTTCTGGAGCCAGGAAACAACACATATCACAAAATAAAAATCTTATGAGGGATGATCTACTACCACAAGTCTCAATTGACAACGGGATTAAGTACTCTACCTATAAACAACACAACTCCCGTCACATTTTCCCTAATAATGAAAAGAAATGGGTGATCCGCCACAAAATGTTGATAGTCTATAACTGGTCCCCGTCGTGCCATTTGGGCCATCCTCATGTGTGTTTTAGCACTGCTTTTGTACCTTCTTCGTCAACCTCAATGAAGCAGTTTTGGAAAATCTTCGAAATATAGAGCTCCCGACTAACAGCTGGAGAGTCTACCATATTAGTGAACTCGCCATCAAGTGACTCAATGAAAGGCAAAACCAACCCTACATCTTTTAGAAATTTTGAGGCTTCAAAGTCAAATGACATCTTAAACTTGGGAATGAGGAACTTCCCAACACTGACTTTGGTCTGTGGTGTATGATTTTTTAAAAATTCGGGTTGAGAACATACTTTTTCCACCAAATTAGGCAGCCCATCCTTGGCATCAGGGAGATAGTAGTACATGGAGAAGTTTCGATGCGTTTCATTGCCTTGTTTGTAAGGAAGACGCAACACTTTGAACCCTTCATAAGCACTTATATATTGGCTTTCCCCAGAGGTCAAGAAAGGAGCTTTAACTGTGCTGCCATTTAAGAGATAAAACTCATGCTCTTTTGTCTTTGATGCATCAAACTTCTTTTCCCAGGTTCCTTTGAAATATAAAGCATTGGCCAAAATCAGCCTTGTGAGTTTGTTAATTTCATTAGGCGAAATAACACTGTTTATAAGGCCTCTTGTTTCTTTTCCAAACCACTCATTCAATTCCCTAGCCGCCTCTTCTGGCAACAAAACCAACATCAAATCAAAGAGATTTTTTTTATTGAGACTGCAAATCCTATATTGCTAAGTGCAAGGACATTAGATATGGGAACCATTGAAATATCAACAAAGATTGCCACAATAAGGATCCACACAAGATGTGCTGGGACAATATTAACCAATAATTCTGGAAAAACCATAAAAAAAAAGCTCCCAAACAGATTTGCACCAAGAACTAACCAGGTTTTGGAAATCAACTCGAGTGGAATGAGCCTTATAAACATCATCAATGACGGCCTTAAAATGAGGATTAAAAGACAAAGACCGATCAATCCAGACACCGCACGATAAGACAGGACCACCAGAAGAACTGCCTTGAGTTAATACGGACGCGACACAACGAGCAAAACAAGAACCGAGCTCATCAACGTTGTTGAAGTTGAGGAAAGAAAGGAGCTGGTCCTTGGTTGCTCCCTTACACCCGGCCGCGCTCATAGCAAGTAAAATTTGGACAGTTAACGGAGAGAGTACGGAATTGACGCCATTACGCATCTTCTCTAAGATGATTGGTTTTGCTAATTTCAGTGAAACTTCGTTTGGTTTGCTGCTATCAATAACCTCCGGCTCCTTGTTGGAATCATTCTTGTGGAGTGTATGAATATTGACGAGTTTTTGTGGTAGTAATCTGGCAACAATTAGCAATAATACATATACATATATCTTTTCTACCATAAAGCTTTTTTTGCCTCAAAAAAAGGGTTGCAATAAAACAATCAAAGACAATTATATTCATAACTAATGTAAAAGCTACTAGTTAAAAACGAAGCAAAACCTTCCAAAACCCTAAATTCATAAATCAAAAGTAACTGAATAAGCCAAAAAGGTTCTAAATCGCAAAGAGTTTCGTTGAGAAAAAGAAAACAAACACATAGGCGCATTACCTTACAAGTTGGGAAGTTGCGGCCGGAGAAATAATTGATAAAGATGGGTGAACAGGGCGTCGAAGGATTGATGAAGACGATGTAAACAAACAGCGTGAATTATAGGGTAATCTTGCCATGATTCGTGTGTAATATCAAACACACTGCGGTTTTTATACTGCCAGAACTATTGAAGTTCCACACTTCCAGCGAAAAATTGACTGGAAAACGAAACCCTAAACTTAATATAAATTTATTCTACACGAAGCTTGCCTGAGAAGAAACCACGCAACACTTTATCTTCTAGTACCTTATTATTATTATTATTATTATTATTATTATTATTATTATTATTATTATTATTATTTTGTTATTAGGGTGCGACTGGTATTAAAAAAATAGTGAGTGAGATTTGAATTTTTAAGTTTAATGCATTTATTGCCCCTACTTTTTTCGAATTAATTTGAGTAAGATATCGTTTTCTTTTTAATCTGATGCGGTATGTTTCATTTTGAGTTGCAGTCTCAATTTAGTTCAATTAATGAAGGGCTTTATATATTGGTCTTATTTCTGTCTGTGAATCATCTCAATATCAGATGTGAAAGTCGAGCGTTCACATATTGGTTTCCAATTTTTTTTTTTCTGGTGCAGATTGATTGATTATCTTCAGTTTGGTCAAGTGTTTTAGCTCCTTTTTCCCACAAAAAAAAAAAGAAGTGTTTTAGCTCCATGCGAACCTATTTTTTCGCTTTTAAGTGGAAGGTATTGGGGGACTATGATTGTGCATCCATTTTTCAATAATCAATCTTCATAGGCTCAAATTATAAGATGCAAGGTTTGACTGCGGAGTTGTGGTAAACTGGTGATCTTCTTTTAGTCAGGTTGGGCTTTAGCGACTCTATTAATTAATTGCGTGTCTCTCAAATGAGACAATTGACGAAAAAATCAAGATTGATCTATACTTGTAGCAAAAGTTGAACGTCCTATCTATACATGATTAAGAATATTGAGTCCTTAGCATGAATTGGTTAGTTTTATTATATCTATATCTATTTGGCTTTTAAATTAAGTTTCTGCCTGGTAAGATTCTAACACAATTCTTGCTAGTGTTAAATCTCTCCATGTTGTGAATAAGTAATACATAGAACTTCTATAATAAGTTAATAATGTTGGGACCACCAAAATTAATTAATTTAAAGAATTATTAAATAATCAATAAATTAATAATATATTAAGTTAAAGAATTTCTATGACAAAAAAAATCGTCGATAAATTATTTTTTTGTAATTGTCTTTGCATCCGAATCAATTAAATCTTAAAATTTTTTTGAGAATTAAAAATCCATACATAGTTCATATCATTTTCAGAGATTAAAAACAAGGATCACTAGTTCATATTTTACTAAAATTTATAGTTATTTTTATTTTTTTTTCCTTTCAGGGTATTTATGAATTTATTATATTATTGGGACCCATAGATGTATAATAGATTTTCTGAATTATTATTATCTTATCATTAATTTTATCGATTTTTTTTATTTTAGTATTGGTCACAAGTTGAGACCGGAGAAAATTATTAATTGATAAAAGTTATTAAGTTATAGATTATTAATTACCAACGTTCTACTGTATGATGATTTGGGTTGGGATGTGTCGAATTATGTGGCTTATTAGGTACATTCATTTTCTTTAAGGTGGTTACTAGTTTGCTAGAATGGCCAGGAACAACTGCATTGGCATTTCAGGCAAGATTCATGGCATGCCTCATCATGATGATCAAAGGTGTTTTGTATTGTAATGGTTTGTTTCCCAGCTGGAATAAAATTCCTTGAGGGCTCAACATGTAAAAGGGCAATAATCTTTTACCAGAGTTAATTGCGAATTCGTGTCGACATCAGCCTCTCCATGAATAAATCATCAGCACTTGTTCTTCGCTACCAAATTGATTAAAATTATATAGCTCTATAACTGAGTTGTCAATTGACCTGGATAATGAATTAATTAATTCATTGAACACGGATTAAAGGAGTTGATCAGGTAAAATGCGCGCTGACTAGATACTTCCAACTACTCTGCCTTGTGTTTCATTTTTACTTTAGTTTTTCATTTTACAAAAGCAGAACATAAATTTGTAGTTGATGCTTTTGCTTCGCTTATCTTTCAATATTTCCCAAAGATACTTACTTGAAAGGAGATGAGCTTATTTTACTTAGGATGGCTGAGGGATTTCTTGATCAAGCGAGCATTGAAAGGGAAGCATTGTTAACAATGGAGGAAATAGGTGGCAGCTACCTGAAAATTTTAGTGCAGAGTTCCTTGTTGGAGAAATCACTAAATTATCCAATTCATAATGTGAGGATACAAACTTATAGTATGCATGATCTTGTTCATGACCTTGCGGAAATAGTTTCAAAGAGAAAAATGTCCTAAATTGGATGATGGTGTGCTGATGGCGAACAACAATAAGGAGCGGTATCTTACTCTAGGCTCAGTTGAACAAGAGAAGCAACCGCTTAACGAAGAAATTGTTCGAACATTGTTTAGCGTATCTGATGAAGTGTTATCAAAATGTAAACGTGTTGAAATTTTCAGGTGAAATAAGGGATACTTTCCCCTCCGTTCACAAACTGAAACATCTGCGTTTTCTTGACATTTCTTTTGCTACATTCAAGGTGCTGCCTGAATCTCTTTTCTTTGCAAGCTTTATAAATTAAAGTTTGATCATTACTCTGAGTTGCAAGGTCTTCCACGGGGGATGAAAAATCTAATTAGTTTGAGGCATCTTCAGTATTCCAGGGGTGATAATAAATTTCAAATGCCACCAGAGTTGGGAAGGTTAACCTGTCTTCAGACTCTGCAGTTCTTCAACATAGGAGAAGTTAAGGGTTTGTGGAATCGAGCAACTCGGCAGCATGAAACAACTCAAAGGTAGTTTGGAGGTACGCAATCTTGAATTCGTGAAGGGTAAACAAGGAGCACAATTGGAAAATTTGTGTGAGAAGCAAATCTGAATAAGTTTGGAACTTAGATGGAGCCTGACAAACCGTCATGGCATTGACAATTGTGATGACTGATGAATAAGTGTTGGAAGGCTAAGCTATCTCACCCAAATTTAGGAGAGTTAAGAGTTGGGCGATTTATGGGTGCTAAGTTCCCCCAAATGGCCGGGACAGTTGTCGGTGTTGGTTAATTTGGAGTTGATAGATTGCAACAATTGCACTCAACTTACATCACTTGGAAATCTGCCCTTTCTAGGTAGCCTTAACTCGAATGACGAATTTGATTGAAAGGAAAGAAGGAGAAGAAAGTGATGCTGATGCTGTGGCATTCAAATTTTTTACTTCTCTCCGTTGCAGAATTAGGTAATCTGCAAAACTGTTGGTATAACTGTTAGTATGTACCTAAACAAGAAATTCGTATAAAAAAAAGATAACCATACGGCTCATTCCATGTTTGAAGCTCTTTATCTTTTTGCCTTATTATATTTGCAGGTTGGCAAGTCTGTTTCTCAAAAATGCTTTCCGATTACAATTTTTGGCCAGGATTTCTTGTGTCTTTTTGTTGCTTCCCTAGCTTGTGAAACCCAACATCCAGCACTATAGAGGATCCGTGCCGAAACTGGGAAAATCGTCATGCATAACTGTTGATCTCCACCATATCTCAACTGATCATGCAAAGGTATAGATTTGACTTTGGAGCTATGGGTTTTTTTTTTTTTTTTTTTTTGAAGAAATTTGGAGCTATGGTGATTCTCTCTCCTTTTTTTTTTTTGTGGTTTATATGGTGATTCTCTTTGATGTGAGCTTTAAGAACTTTATCCTAAGCATTGAGATGTTGCTGTTTTATTTTGCAGCTAATAACACAATTACGGCAGAGTTGCAATTTCTGGGGGCCTCTTTTGGGATGGTTCCGAATAGCTTCGTGCTTTTCAGCAGAGGGAAAATCCACCCATTATTGTTGCTCTTTCATCAGACAATTCGGACACGGGAGTATCAGTGGATGGCCCGACTCTGTTCCGCCTTTTGGATATACCGTCTGGCTGAAGAATACTTCAGTAGCAGCCGATAAAGCATAGAAACAATTGACCGAAATATTCAGTTCTTGGCCAACTTCAGTTGTCCGGTAAGTCCTCAGGTCTGAAATAATTCAATCAGGGCGAATCATCGTATGGTCAGCAACGGTATTTTGAAGGAACTTTCGTGGAGGTCAAGTGCTACTTTCAAGTACTGCGGCCTCAGGCAAGAGGATATCATGATTAGAGTTTTGGTAGTAATAATTTGGATGTTTCCTGTGGTGGAAACAAGTGAGAAATGTACCCCTGATTTAGCTAAGGCAATTGAGAGCAGGAAAGTTTTTCTCACAACGATTGTATACATTTCAGTCACCATTTTTTTTTTTCTCGTTTGGACATTTCTGGTGTTACTTTCACTCCTAAGGATACAGATATATGGTGTTTGATGCTTTCACAACCTACTTTTACCACTAAAAAACCAGTCGCAGAAGATAATTTGCATCACATCTTATTAAAAACCTTGGGGATCATCAAACTCAGGACTCAGCGACTTGAGTCCTCAATGTTTTGTTAGCCTGTTGTTGGCTAAGGGGTTTTACTCCACAATAATTTGGTTCCGACCGTGGCGAACTTCTATGCAACTGTCACATTATCTTCTGTGCCTCCATACTAATTAGTCAGAACTCAGAACTCAGAAGCTCTCTGCATTATCATTATCCTTGCATTTACTTTTCTTGAGGTACCAAAATCCTTTCCGCCCCGAAAAAAAATCCACGAAAATATATAGCACAAGTCCCCTAGTCTTACCAATAGAGGACCGGATTGCTGAGTGTCATTATTATTGTCGTGTTTATGGTAGCTACAAAGATTCTCGTGGCTATGGTACCAAACATAATCATCTGTGATACCATGACTCTCATTTTCAAATTGCTGCTTCAAGTTGATCAGAGAAAATTGAAACATTTGAAATAAAATTTAGAGTGGCCCTTTTTTCCTCCTGGTGTGTTTCTGAATTGCAAGAAAAGCAGACAACAAACTTGCAGTAACACTAGGATTGCATGCATTAGATTTAGATTCTTCTTATTACACAGGTACATAGCCAACACTTCCACATACACAAAGGAAGACAAACGAAATGGACAAAATTGAGGTCTACAAAAATACCAGTTAATTACTTTTAAGTTTATTAGATTAAAAATCTCCCCAAATCAAAAGCCCAAATCTCCCTTCTTAACCAAACATTTCTCTGTTTCAACTTTCAATTCATCATCTTCTTCATTGGGAAGGAGGGGATGGAGTGAAATTCAGCAGCTGCTTTTGGGGCTTTTTCCAAGCTTGAACCACCACATAGGCATCAAACGTCTTGGGCAACCCAGAAGAGCTGACGGCTGAAATCTTCAGATGGTATTTGATCCCGGCAACCACCTGTCTCTCCGCCTCCACCACGGCGGTGAATGTCACCGGAATACCAACGCCGCCGGTACCGTTCCCGGATTTATGCCCATATTTCCTCGGACTCTTGTTGAACTCAGCAACGGAATACCTCCCCAGTTCTTGAATCTCCGGGTCGTTTTCCGCATTTGGGATTTTCTCCCATCCTCCAACTTTCCCACCCAAGGCTTCCGCTTGGTGAAGGGCCAGGATGAAACAGAGCAGAACAAGGAAAAATGGGAATTTCGGTGATGATTTCGCCATTAAAAAAAAAACAAATCTTTCTTTACGGGTTTTTTTTTCTTCTTTCTCTTGATAGATTTCTTTGAAGCGATGATTTCAAAGTTTGTTGCGGAATTTAGGGAGTGAGGGGGTGGAGTTATTTATATACAGGGGAAATGAAGATAAGATTTTGCGGAGTAGTACTACTGTGTGAGTGCGTGTGGGGAAGGAGGACTTTTGGACACGTAAATTGAATGTGTTATGGGCGTTGTTGGCAACACATACGGTGTGCCGCGTTTTTCTGAAACTCCACAGTATGTAACGACAACAAAAAAATTGATGATAACTAGGGGAAGAAAATGTATTTTATCGAAAACACCAACTTCATCCCTCGTCCCATAATTATTATCCAGTTTGAGTTTTTATTTGGGTGGTGATATTGTCATGGCAATAATTAGTATCCAGAGCAACTTTTATACAACTTCTCAAAATTACCCCCATTTTCGTCAAAGTTTAATTCTCTTCCTTCTTTGTCTGCATCATTCTCCGGTCACTGTTCATGTAGTTTCTTCGGCCATCCTATCACTAAGCAGCTCTCCCACCTCCATAAATTCGAATTCCGCCAACATCACCAATCATCATGTAAGAAATACAGTATGCATCAAGAACCAAATTAAATGAAGCCCTTCGATTCTTCAATTAAAATATGAGAAAACTAAACTCTAATAATCCCATTATCAATCATCATGAAGAAATCTAAAATCTGAAAGTAATCAAAATTTTGCTAACCTTTAAGGGTAAAAAAATAAATTCCTTTTCCATCTTTACATCATTACTAAAATCCATAAACAACCAAAATTTCACAAACTCGTATTTTTCGGAAGAAAACTGATAGCATCCATTTAAATTCAACCATATCCATTCTCAATTAGAAAACAAAAACCCAAATACAATCTTGAATCTGGGTAGTGGGCACTGTATGGACTAAAAAAACTAAAAAAGGAAAAAAAAGAAAAAAGAAGCAGAAAGCATCACGTTTTGTTATCAAATTTGGAGATCTTTAAGTATTGGAAAATTTGGCGGATCAAGATCTCTAACTTCAAGATTTGGCCCTAAATTTAGAGAAAGAATTTTGCTGCTTAATTTTTGATAATCATAATTCTCTATTTAAATTCATCTCTCGAGTCCGGTGAATGATGAAAGATGAAAGAGATAGCAGTGTAGAAATAATAAAGCTAGAATTTGACAAGATGAGGGCAATCTTGGAAAATTGTGTGAAAATTGATCTGGAAGCTAATTATTGCCCTGAAAATATCATAGCCTTTTCATTTATAGTTCAAATTATACTAAAAGTAAAATATCAAATTGGACAATAAATAAATTTTAGGACAGAAAGAGTATTATAAAATATTGGCGTTTTAGAGCATATTTACAACCAAAGAACACAAATAGCATTAGTCTTAGGCTGTCACATTCACAGCACTTGAGGGCCAAAAAACCTGGCCAAAATCCTCTGTTTCAGCCTCTTTAGTGTTATTGGTTTTTTGTTTTTTTTGTAAACTGTAAGTTTATATTCATCAAATACCTTAGAACGATTACATCAAACTGGCCAAACTCTAGAATTGCCTTTGCCATTCTATGGACATTTTTAACTATGCTTTTATCCTTATACTTAATATAAAGGCACAGTAGGCAAGAAATTAAATGCTCAAGAAATATTCAGGGCCACCTTCAAATTGATCTTGTCCATCGGATGGGTACGATCCAACGGCCAATATTAAGTCACTTATTAGGGGCAAAAATAAAATTTCACAAATTCAGTGTACTGTTTGGTTCGTTTTTTCGTTCATTTTTTCAGAATTTTTAATTAATATCTATCTCATCCCCGCATACCTTTCTACATTTTCAATACACCTTTTTACATTTTCAATATACCTTTTTACATTCCCAATACAAAAAAGTACACTCAAAAAACTATCCAAACATAGCCTAAGGTTTCCAGTGTAATAAGTAAAAATCCCCAATAACTAACCCTAAATTTTTTAGGTTAAAAGCTCAAACCACCCCCACCCTCCCCTTCCCTCCCCACCCCCCCCCCCCCCCCCGCGCAAACGAAGCAACCATTAAAAACATGCACATAAATGAAAACATATGTTTATACTAGAGAGACTACATGGCATAATATAATTTATAAAAAATATGTTTATACTTATCAATGCAAGGATTTAATATTTTGTAATAATTATTTGAGATGTTAATATATTTAACTAAGAGGAATTCTTACTAGCTTATTCTATATGATTTTAGTTTAAAATAAATGAATGAAGGTAACAATATGATAATAAGTTGTTGTGATAGAAAATAGGTTTTAGATTCAAGAAGGAAAACTTATGTTTGGAGGATTTTTTTTTAAGATTTTAATTATTTTATATTTTAGTTATTTTATTATAAATTATATTAATACAAGTTATAGTCTCTTGAGTTAAATTGTAATACACTAAAATATATTAATATTTTTTTTATTTGAGCTAATATTTTATATTTTTATGTGAAATATTAGTTTCATTTAAATGTTTTTAATCTTTATGTTAGGAAGAATAAAATAAATCATAAAAAATAGTGTCTTAATTATTTTATATTTTATTTATTTTTTTACGAATTATATTAATGCAAGTTATAGTCTCTTGAGTTAAATTGTAATACACTAAAATATATTAATATTTTTTTATTTGAGCTAATATTTTATTTTTATGTGAAATATTAGTATCATTTAAATGTTTTTAATCTTTATGTTAGGAAAAATAAAATAAATCAAAAAAATAGTGTCTTTATTGCTAAACTATATTATTAAAAAAATTAACATGCTTATAGAAATACAATCATGGGTTACAACTATACAAAGATTAATTTTTACGGTAGAGTTTCAAAATTAATAAATATTTTTTAAAAAACTCATATAATAGACTCTTATGGTCATTAAAAGTAGTTGAGAGAAATGGAACAAAATAGAGAAAAAAAAATAAAAAAGTGAAAGGGACTATTTTATTATTTTTATATATTTTAGGGGTTATTTTCAAAATTTTTAAAAATTATTGGGTATTTTTGTAATTAAATTTATTATTTTATTAAAACTAATGGAGATCGTTAATTTGGACGGAAAATGGACCGATTGGACAAAATTGGCAAAAATTTCAAACATTAGGGTAAAGTTGACTAACCAAAAATCTATTGGGTATGATTGACGACGAGGCAAAGCTTTGGGTAGGAACGACATTTTTTCCTTTTTATGCTTATACTCTGTACATGTTTATTGATTTGGATCTTTTGTGTTGTTATGTTTGGAGTGGACTGGCTATAGTGCTAGGTTATATTTGCGCATGGAATTAGCTCTGAATACCATTTCAAATTAATTTTGGTTAAAGGCAATACGTTGTTCTTGATCAGTAGACCATGCCCTCTGTTTGTCTGCAAGAACATTGTCTTGGGTTCTGTGCTTGAAGGTTAGTCCGGTTGTACTTTCTCTTTTCTTCATGCGTTTCAAGTTTCTTGTTTATTTATGTTGAATCCCAGCAACAGATGTTTCCAATTAGGATTAACTCAATTTATTCTGTTCTAGCATTTAAAAAGTTTTGACGCAAGTAATTGGAATTCAACTTGCATATATAATACTAACTCAAGTAGTTTTATGTATTATAAATGCATTAAACTGCAACTCATTACAAGATGGACTACTAGATACATGTTGTGTGTTCCATATTTGTGGACTTTCATACTCATTCTCTGATTTCGTTGTAATTTTCTGCCCCTGATATGGTCTTTGGCACTGAAGGTAGTGCAAGCGGCTATTGGGTGAAGGTGGTACAATGATGTAGTTTTTCTATCTCAAAGAGAAGGCTTGCAGATATTCTTTTTTCAGAATATAGTTTCTGCTTCTTTACTTAATCGGCAAAGAGATTATGAACTGAGTTAAGTTTGTAGATAGTTCATATTTGTCCCATTTTATTTTTACCCATTTTATGAAACTCTCATTTCTCTGAACATAATACATTGTAATGCTTATTTTACTTCAATTGTTTTCTTTATCTGGTTTCCTTTTATTTATTATACCTGAATTTTTGCTGTAAATAATAATTCTATTACTCAAATTCGATATTTTGCATCCTCTCACACAGAACCAATTATCTTGTGATATCGTCAGGATTATGGTGTGAAGTTTGAGAAAGATGGTGCAGGATTTATCCAATTGGTGGGATTTAGGAATGAAGATCTGGTTATAAGTCATTTGGACCTACCATGTAATCCATTCATCTCATTTTGCAACATCCTGGACCTTTTTGTGGTTTGTGCTTTAAAAAGATGCACAGTTTTTACGTTCACATGTGCCATCGGAATCAAGTAAACAGACTCAGTCAGCATCTCCAAGCCATCAGATTCTTCTTCTGGTTCTTTTTTCCTTCCTGTGACATTTAGAAAAATATTTATGTGCTATCATCATCAATCAATGTGGAATGAAGTTTCAACAGATGTTATACTTTTCAAACATGGATGTTTTATGCTAAATTCTGATGGAGTTCAGGGGTTTAGATTATAGGATCGAGTGCATTATTTGCTAGATGGTTTAACTTATGAGGTTTTTAGTTCATGATTTTAGTGACGAAGTAATTTCCAGTTTGAGATTGGATTTGGCGATTTGGGTTTTGGGGATCAACTTTTATGGTGTTTCAACTTTTAAGTTAGATGTTATGCATGTATAGCTATATTCGAACTTGACTTTGTCTGACTTTTCATTTTCTGAGGGAATAGATTCATTTTAACTGTCAGCTTGATTGTCTTTCCGTGTTTGAAAACAATAGTTTTTCTTTTAATCATTTTTTCCAATGTTATGAAGTGTAGGGATGATATGGACCAAATCATGTGCTACTGGTGTGTGTTGTGGCATAATTCTTGCTTGCTTGTAATTATTGTATTTCTTAAAATTGCTCCGGTTCTTGTTTGCTGGAAAATAATGCAAGCAAATCTAGGCCTTTGTTTTCACAGATATTTTATTTTCACAATAACATTTACCCCATATTATTTAGTTGGTTTAGTATTTTTAGCTTCTCCAGTTACTTCTAGCTAGTATATTACTTTGCACCCAAATTATGTGTACTGACGAGTCATAAATTAACCCAAGGCATATTGGGCCTAGGATTAGATTACTTGGAGATTAAGCCACCCTAAACCTATTCCGCTAGGGTTTCAGGAAACAGGTAACACCACATCTATATAAAAAGGTGGTGCCTCTCTCATAATTCATATCTTTTCTACCTTCTACATACGAAACACATACTTCTCTCTCTCTATTCTCTATTCTCTTATTGACTTAAGCATCGGAGAGAGTCTACCCTCGAGAGACACCCGAGGCTCTGTCTTGCAGGTTTTAGGCCGTTCGTCGTCACCTAGATCATCGTCGCGCCCGTCCTGAGCACCGTGTAGATTCCATGCTTCGTCAAGTGGCACGCCCAGTGGGACTGATTTGTTTGGTCCTTACAACCAAATAAATTTCTTGAAATAAAGCTAAAATTTATTGGTGCTTCATGAATCATGATGTAAATGATGATGATGATGTTGTCGGGTCCAGCGTCGACTTCTTCTTCTCGACGTCTAGCTCGACCAGTTCCCTGTCGACGTACACGCCAACTTTCTCCCACCGACAAAAAGGCTGACGAATACGTTGTCGACTTTCATATTAACCCCCTTAACCTCAAAGCAAGGGGTAATTTTGAAGATTGAAGTTTCGAGAGATACATCTCCTTGAAGGGGCAACCATCCCTCGAGCACCATACTACTACTCAAAGTGTTCGAAAAGATGTATCCCGACTTTTATCTACTCAAGAACTACATTCTCTCGGAATCTAGGTAACACCTTCTCGGGTAGTCAATTTCTCTCGAGATCAAGGTACTTCTCAAACCTTTTCTAATATGCTTCTCGAATCTAGGTTTATCACTACTGATATCATTAGCATATTACTACTATCATATCACAATATCTTTTTTAAGTACGATCAAAGGAATATTTCGAGGAACCAAACCTCTAGGAAAAATTTTCATCACCCTGCAATGAGGAAAATCACCTCGGGGCTGCCTTCAATGAGGAAAACATACTCGAGGCACAAATTGGAAAAACCCTAGGGCAAGAAACTTGAGAGATCATCCTAACATCCTCTGCTAGACTGATATTCTTCACGAGCATCTTACACTACTTATCATTATTATATAATATTGCATCTCAATGATCCAAACACTCGCGGTCCATCGCGCCAACAAGGATACTCACGGACCACCGCGCAAACAAGGACACTCGCAGTCCACCGCGCAAACAAGGACACTCGCGGTCCACTGTGCAAACAAGGATACTCGTGGACCACCGCGCAAACAAAGATACTCACGGACCACCGCGCAAACAAGGACACTCACGGTCCGCGCAAACAAGGACACTCGCAGTCCACCGCACAAATAAGGACACTCGCGGTCCACCGTGCAAACAAGGATACTCGCGGTCCACCATCCAAACAAGGAACTCTCTAACAATAAGACCTCATCAAGGCATTCTATTCTCCTTATCTTGTATAGGTGACACCCGAGAACGAAAGAGTTCGAGAACTGGGGCAACACCATGAAACTCGAGAAGACATCAACATTCGTACAACCCATATTCTTCTCATCAAGTCTCGAGAATTTAGCTTGCTAGGGGCACTTGACGAGTCATAAATTAACCCTAGGCCTATTGGGCCTAGGATTAGGTTACTTGGAGATTAAGCCCACCGCCTAAACCTATTCCGCTAGAGTTTCAAGAAACAGGTAACACCACCTCTATATAAAGAGGTGGTCCCTCTCTCATAATTCATATCTTCTCTACCTTCTACACTCGAAACACATACTTCTCTCTCTCTATTCTCTATTCTCTTATTGACTTAAGCATCAGAGAGTCTATCCTCGGGAGACATCCGAGGCTCTGTCTTGCAGGTTTTAGGCCGTTCGCCGCCACCTAGATCATCATTGCGCCCGTCCTGAGCATCTTGCAGATTCCATGCTTAGTCATGTACATTAGTTAGATTTGTTTTGCTGCTATGATGGAATTGGGTTTTCCACTGCATTTTCCAATCTAGGATTTTCCGTCCTTTTTATTTGAACAAAAATTTGATTTATTGAAGTAAGCTTGTGATTTTTTTCTTGGTGCTACTTCTTGCGTTTGAAACCTACTCTTTGTAGGTGAATATAAGCTGCCATAGGGATAAAAAAAGATCTTTACAAGAGGATTGTAGTATGCCCAGATGAGCATAACCGATGTTATTAGCAATGGAAGGACAAGGGTTCTTTATCGGCTTCTATGAATAGCAATGGATTCACCCTTCTTCTCTTGGGTTAGAAGAACGAAGAAAAGCTCATGAGAGTGGCTCCATACAATAAGTACCACTTAGTAAACAAAAGAACCAATCTTGAACTCCACCTGGCCTTTGGAAAGAAAACATTATCCTTGCGTGCGCCTCTTTTGTGTGCTTTGGTCACGCTGCCACCGAACGTGAGAGCCCTTCTCCCTTTAAAGTTGGTGCTTAAAGAGCTCAAAGCTAAAGCGGCTAAAGGGAGCCCTTGACACATGGGGCTAAAGAAGAGTGTAAAGAAGTGAACTTGCAACATATGGTCATTGATCCAACCTGCCCTTATTCAGTTAAATTGAGATAAGGAAATGTGTTGCTATGTTGGATTTATCTAGACTTTTGATATTTCTAAGCTTTGGATTTGAGTTCTTTCAGACATTTCTTGATATTTTTTAATCAAGCCAAATTTTAAAAGTCACTTAGTTCTTAAAATTACTCAGTAAATAGTATGACCCTCACTCACCGTCGAAGCTACCCTCCCTTCATTTTTACACTCCCAGCCGCCCAACCCCCTCACCATCAACATGTGATTATGCCCTATACCAAAATAGCACAACGATTAGGAAATTACTAACTAAATTTTGATTTATATTCGGATCTAAACAAAAGCTACCAGATGCTACAAAGAGCATAGTAGATTCTATGTAAATGATGACCAAGTTAACACTTTTTGTGCACACTTTCCTGAAAGAATTTTCATGAAAATGAAGACCAAGTTAAGATTTTTTGTACAGACTTTCCTGAAAGAATTAACCGATGTTTTAGATGTATATTTGCATTATGGGTGATCGAGATTCCGCATTGGAGATGACAAAGTTGCTGGATTCTTAGCTGTTAAAAAGACATGAAAGAATACATTTGTTGGCACTACTAAGCGTAAAGAGAAAAATTCAAAAAAAAAATAGATTATACCAAAATTCATATAAAACAACAGAGCAAAAGAATGTTTATATGCACTGGTCACCCAAGTGCGACACGTAAAAGACTAGTTAAGTCTTAATACACTACTTACTGGTATTTGTACAAAAGTCCGAATAATATCCTTACCTAAATTAAAAATTTGAGTAGGAATAGTCGACCGGAGTCTTTTCGCCTGTACTAAAACACTATTGTCGATTTGCAATTGACAGTTAATTAGTCTCTGATGCCCTCCTTCTCGGAGCCTTGTGAGAATCACTATGGCTTCGGAAAATTCGAGAGAACTGGAATAGAAAGGGAGAGATAAGAAATTAATTTTCCAAAATTTTCAATTATTTCCCTTCCTGCTGCTCCGATGTTGAATGATTCCTTGAAGGCTCCGTCTACTCGTACATAGAACTCCGGTGGAGTGAGATCTTGTTGATTCCTAGCAATTGTCATATCCATCATTTGATCCAATTCTTCATTCCTGGATTTGAGGCAATAAGTGAATGATTGCTCTTACTTTTCTGTCCACTGTAATGTTTGCAGGGGATACTAATCGACTCCATTCCGATTCTTCTCATTCCTCGCAATCCAAATTGCCCAGAGTATGAAGAAACTCTTTCTAATAAGATCCTCGTCGGGTGCCGACAATAGCCATTCATTTAACCAATCACAGAAGGTAAAATCATTGTCTTGATTGAATTCAAATCCTAAGAACATGCTTTACTGTCTCTTCATATTGGTTACATCGCAGACAGGAAGTATTTATGGGGATTCCCTTTTTCTTAGAGCTTGATAAGTGGGAAGGGCATTATTTGCAGCTCTCCAAACCAGCCATTGCTTCTTTGCTGGTTTTGTATTTTTCATAAAATTTTCCATGCTTTCTCAGTAAGACTATATGATGCGGAGGTGCCGGGTGTCGATGATTCTTTTAAATTTGTTGTTGCATGATACCCCTTTTAAATATGCATTCTCCAAACTTGTCTTTGATCCAAAGCATTGTATCCAAATTCTGGTTTGGATTTAGAGGGATATACGTTGCTAAAACTCTTTTTGCTGTTTCATGAGGAAACACACTTTTTACCAACGTTCCACTTATGGCGGTCTGTGATGAGATCACTAACTTTAAGATTTAGCAGCCCCTGATGTAACGATATATCTCGTAGTGGATTTAGTGTGCCTTCAATCCAATTTTCTTCAATTCCTATAGATTCGGCGTTACATATCCTCCGTTTTAGACTTGTTAACAACAACTCTTTTCCCCAGATTAGACCCTTTCACCCCAAGACGATTTGTTTCCTACTATGCACTTCATGAAATTAGCACCTTTAACATATTTAGCATTGAAAATTTTTGCAAAAAAGGATGAAGGATTTTTGTACATTCTCCATGCTAGTTTTCCAACAGTGCTTGGTTCAATTCTTTTGCACTTTAGAGTCCAGGACCGCCTCTGAATTCTGATTTACATACATGATCCCATGACTTCTGATGTATCCCTTCTTTATCACCTTTCCAGATGAACCTTGAGACAGTGGCATCTATCTTCTTGGTGATTGTGTTAGACAATTTGAAAACCCCCATCATGTATATTGGAAGAGATGACAATGAATGTTTAGAAAGAGTAACTCTCCCCATCACTGATACAGACTTCTTCTTCCAGCAATTAAGTTTATCCTTCATTGAGTCATTCTTTGTATTATGCTGTCAAACAAAACTGTTTTTCTTTGCATGAAATCCAAAGAGAGACCTAAATATTTACCTGAGTAGGCGTAGTTTCTTATCCCTAACCATTGAGATATGTTGCGTTTGATACTAAGAGATGTGTTAGGGCTAGTGAGAATCGCTGATTTTTTCAGGTTGACTTTTTGTCCCGAAACTTCAGTATGTTGCCTTAGGATTTCAGCGAAAGCTTGTGCATTGCTCTCTTCACGTTCCTTGAAAATTATGCAATCATCAGCATACATGAGATATGATAATCTAGGCGCTTATCTTGCTAGTTTGATTCCAATATGTAGATTTTCTGCCCCCAATCTTGTTAGGGCCTACTGACATAAGATGAATAAAGGGAATATTCGTATATACATCCCAACGTTTATGCCTTGCTAGCGAATTCATCCCAAACTTTTAGAATTGGTTAATTACGTCCCAAGGTTATCAAAATTGAGTAGATCCATCTCATGACCTGCAAACTAACAAAAGTGACCTGTTATAACAGGTAAATTCATTTGGATTCCATATTTGACATTTTTACTTCTGTTTTGTTTTTTAATTTTAAATTTTTTTTAGTTTATTGAAACAAAAACAACATTTATAAATGGAGAAACTAAAAACTTTAATTTATTGTAATGAATCTACTTTATTTTATATTCAGATTCATCAATTAGATGTAGATATATAATTGATTATTTTTTATTACAAGAATATATAAATGTACATATATATATAGACTAAACTGTATAAATGGTCCCCTACATTTGTCTGAATTTTGGTCCCCTATATCAACATGTATATGGATTGAGCCTTTACATTTCATTTTGAAACTTTTTTTGTCTCTTTTCACTGTTCCGTCACCATTTCCGTCTTGATCACCATTGACCCTACCAAGTCAGGGGTATTTTCGGAATGACACATATAAGACAAAAGACTAAACTGTATAAATGGTCCCCTATATTTGTCTAAATTTAAATTTTGGTCCCCTACATCAACATGTATATGGATTGAACCTTTACATTTTATTTTAAAATTTTTTTGGTCTCTTTTCACTGTTCTGTCACCATTTCCGTCTTAATGATCGTTGACCCTACCAAGTCAGGGGTATTTTCGAAATGACACTTATAAGATCAAATTAACAAATGTTTTTATAATAAAATAGATTAAAATATTAAAAATTATTATTTTATAATAAAAAATTAAATAATGTAAAAATAAAAAAAATTAAAATCATTTCAAATTTCAAATTTCAAAATTTTTTTTCACTTCCCGCATTTGTGGGTCCCACATACCAGTCAATTTCTCCCCTTTTTTGCTACAGTAAAAAAATAAAATTAAAAAGTAAACTTATCTTACCAAGTCACTGCTGGTAAAGGTAAAAGACGGGTGAAGGTAAGTTTTTTTTTAATTTTTTTTACTGTAGCAAAAAAAGGGGAAAATTGACTGGCATGTGGGACCCACAATGGTGGGAAGTGAAAATAAAATTTGAAATTTGAAATTTGAAATCATTTTAATTTTTTTAATTTTTACATTATTTAATTTTTTATTATAAAATAATAATTTTGAATATTTTATTCTATTTTATCATAAAAATATTTGTTAATTTGATCTTATATGTGTCATTTCAAAAATACCCCTAACTTGGTAGGGTCAACGATCATCAAGACGGAAATGGTGACGGAACAGTGAAAAGAGACCAAAAAAGTTTCAAAATAAAATGTAAAGGCTCAATCCATATACATGTTGATGTAGGGGACCAAAATTTAAATTCAGACAAATGTAGGGACCATTTATACAATTTAGTCTTTTGTCTTATATGTGTCATTCCGAAAATACCCCTGACTTGGTAGGGTCAACGGTGATCAAGACGGAAATGGTGACGGAATAGTGAAAAGAGACCAAAAAAGTTTTAAAATGAAATGTAAAGGCTCAATCCATATACATGTTGATATAGGGGACCAAAATTTAAATTCGGACAAATGTAGGGGACCATTTATACAGTTTAGTCTATATATATATATATGTGAAAGCATAATCATTCGATTTTTTACTCAAAATAAAGAATTTTTTTTGGAAAGTTTCTTTAAGTTTTATCAAAAAATTAAAATGAATCAGCTCATTTCGTGGTCTCTTAGTGCGGATCCGTTGACCCAGTTGAGTCAACTGTGTTTTGTGTGTAAGAGGGAAACAGAGGGAATTTCCCTTCCATCTACCACCTCTATCATCACCCCCACTATCAGCCCCGCGGCCTTGTCAACTTTGGTAGCAGGGGTTTTCGGTAATTTTGACGGCAAAAAGATAAATTAACGACCTGATTTTCTATGATGGCGGTTTCCGCAAATAGATCTGCTTCCCATCTTGCATACAAACGACGACTATGGTATCAACCGATTAGGTCCACAGGCCCCAATTCTACGGCCAGGAGAGGTTTCAGTTTGAAGAGAAATCTTAATCCAATTACTCCGGCCAACAGCCCTACAGGTTATTTATCTTCTCTTTTTTCCAAACCCCAATCCAATTTTAAAATGTCTATTTTTGGTTCTATTCTAGAGGAACAGTTGGTTGCTAAGATGGAGTTGTTGACAAAGACGAGCTTTCAAAA